ATATAAGCTCATCCCGAGGTTACACTTATCAAGAGCTTTCATTTGAGTACCGACATGCATTTTGATATATTTTTCATATATATATATATATATATATATATAAAAAGCCATGTGAGTACTTGGATGAAAGGTCTCGATGAGTGTAACATCAGGAAGATCTTATATTTTTAAAAATGTCAATAGTTCACAAGATATTTGTTAAATTGCACTGTACTTTCTTAAATATTGATGTTTTTAAAGATATAAGCTCATCCCGATGTTAGACTCGTCAAGAGCTTTCATTTAAGTACCCATATGCATTTTTATATATTTTTCATATATATACATATATATAATATATATAAAATATATGAAAAATTGATGTGGGTACTCAAATGAAAGGTCTCGATGAGTGTAACATCAGATTGAGCTTATATCTTTGAAAATGTCAATAGTTCACAAGATACAAGGTCATTTCTTAAATATTGAAATTTTTTAAGATATAAGCTCATCCCGATGTTACACTCATCAAGACCTTTCATTTGAGTACCCACATGCATTTTGATATATTTTTCATATATACATATATATATATATTATATATAATATATAAAAATATATGAAAAACTGATGTGGGTACTCAAATGAAAGGTCTCGATGAATGTTACATCGGGATGAGCTTATATCTTTAAAAATATCCATAGTTCACAATATACAAGGTCATTTCTTAAAAACCGATTTTATCATATGACTATCCTAAAGACAAAGTTTTTCTTATTCTCTTAATAAAATAAATAATTAATAAAATCCAGTGAATCACCTTGTAATGTAGTAATACTTTTATGACTCATAACAAGATGAGGCATGACTTCCTCTAATGAGCCTTGCCACTTGCATGAAGCACCAGGACACGGACAACTGTAAGGACGGAATTCGCATGCATCTTCGTGGTCCGGCTTCTCTATATGTACCATCGACACTGTGCACCCGCTCGTTGAATACTTGCATGGAAACATGACGTTACTCGCAACTTTCTCCATCGCAAGGTTACGAATATTACCTAAACAAATAAACAAATTTAATTAACACGACAAGTTCACGGTCATTTGTTTTTAACTCTTACGCGCAACAATTATTCATCTACAAATACATTAGTATAATGCTAATACTGATACTGACCTAATGGACCTCGACAAGTAGGACAGCAAGTTAATTTGGGTCTGCAATTACTGCAAACCAAGTGACCACTCTGACACTGCAAAATAGGAGGCAAAACATATTCAAAGCAGACTGGGCACTCGAACAAGCTCGCCAAATCCGTCGAGCTGTTGGATGCTGAAACTGCTGCTGCAGAAGTACTTGCTACTCCTCGGCCACGTTTTCCGCTGCTTATATTCAACTGAGACATTTTCTTGTTTTTTTTTTTTATCTTATGATTTATTTTCAGACCCTTTTTTTATTCCTTAATTTATAACTCCTGAGTTTTTAATTGATCCTTTTATTTAAATCTGAAACAATCAGTAGACTTGATTAATTATAACACTAATATTAATATTAATATTGACATTCAATTATTAAATCAAATATTTGGTGAAGTTGATGAATGGCAAGCGAACAAACAACGCCCAGCTTTTATGTATATTGTTTTTTCACTCATTCATTTAAAGACTGTTTACTTATAAATAATTTTATTGTCATAACAAATAAATAAAATCAAGTTACCCAACATCTAAATATTTTTAGAATTTTTTTTATTGAAAAAATTGATAAAAAAAAAAATTTCATCTGTAAAAAACTTTAAAAACTATAAATGCAATTTTTTTTTAATATTTTTTTGTTCTAATTTAATTATTAAAAAAAAATCAAAAAATTAAAAACGTCGGCCAACTTTAGTATTATTTAAATAATAATGAAAATTAATTTAAAAATTTTTTTTTTATTGAAAAAATGACTACAAAAAAAAAGAAGAAAAAATTTTCATTTGAAAAAAAGCTAAAAAAATATTTTCTTCTAATTTATTTATTAAAAAAAAAATTAAAAACGTCGGCTAACTTTAGTATCATAAATAATGTTGAATTTAGAAGACATTTAAAAATTTTTTAACAATTTTAATAATAAAAAAAATTCCACGTGTAGAAATATTAAAAAATTACAAGTGGGAATTTTTTTTTTATAATATTTATTATAAAAATTAAAAGAATTGTTAGATGACTGCTAATTTCAGTATCATAATCATAATAAATAAATGAAAATTAAATTAGCCATTTGAAAATTTTGATAATTTATTTTATTGAAAAATAATTTTTAAAAAATTAAAACAAGAAATTTCACATGTAGAAAATTTTAAAAATTATCCGTGGAATTTTTTAAAAATAGTTTATTAGTTCTAATATTTAATTAAAAAAAAAAAAAAAAAAAATCAAAAATTTTCGAGTGTCAGCTAACTTAATTTTCATAATAAATAATTATATATTTATACTAAGAAAAAAAAATAAAACTTACCATAAAATAGCTCCAATAATTAAATAAAAAATTGAACAAAACAAAAGAATAAACAAAGTCATTGAATTTCAATGAAACGGACGAATGTAATTTTTATAAGCTATCGACTCTAATTCCGATGATTTTTTATAACCAGATGAATTTAAACGATACATTAAGAACGACGACGGGTACGTCGACGGTAAAAATTGAACGTGACACACCATAGATATATACATTAAAATAACACAAAAACTTTATATTAAATTAATAGACAGCGGCTAACAAAGGTGAACCTCAACAAGTTAGTCTTGGATGTTGGTTTGACAGCAACGAAACTCCACTGGATAGCAAAGCAGCTCCAATCGTAACAACAAAAAAATTGTTGGAGGTTATTGTATCATAATTTCCATAGCGAATTCATATCATCGCAATCGCTATTGCACTGACCACTCTGGGTGTCAGTTAATTGCGCAAGAGTCCTCATTACACGATGATAAATAAAGCGACATAACTTTAGACGATGATATAATTATTCCTTTAATAAAATAAGATTTTTTTTTCTTATTATTTTTTTTTTTTACATAACTATATATCACCACTCACACACTTTTAACAACTGAAAATAATTAAAAATATTTGTAATTATTTATTATTATTTTTTTTTTATATAACTATTGTTATATTTAAAAGTAGACGTAAATAAAATTATTATTATTAGGTATTACTAGCGTGTAATAAGCTTATGTATATGCACTGATATGAGGTTTACTTGCTCGCTACTATACGTACTCCGCGATTAATTAAAACAATGCCAGTTTACAGTTTACGTGTTTTATTGTCCGTTGATTTTTTGTTCGATACACAATATACAATACACGCAATCGTTTGTACTTTTAAAATCTTTTTTGTAATTATTACAGTATGTAGACTGTGTGTATATGTATAATCTATGTAAGTAAGTATGTAGCGTATAAAGTTGTGTGACGGTATTTACCTATATACGTGAATTTACAAGTAAACTTATTACAAGCTACGATACCACACCAAAAACAAGAACCAGTGATAATTTTATAATTTATAGAAAAATAACACTGCAACGCGTCAAAAGTTTATGAAAAAAAGAATTATTTTAATACTTATTACATTGTACACTGTACACATACTTTTTACTGTTTGTACTGCATGTATTATTGTGGATGTTAAATATAGATATATATTGTCCTGGCTTAATTTTACTATACTAAAAATTTTATTGGATTGTGGAACTCGCTCCCAGAGCAACGCACACACACATTTTTTTTACATATGAAAAGGCTTGGAAATTTTTTATACAATTACTGGAAAATTACAAGATAAATTTATTAACTTTAATGATAATAATTAAGTGATTAAGGAGGAAAATATAAATTCTAATTAATGCAATTTAATTTTTTTTTTTTTAGCTCCTTCACAAACAAATACAGTTATTTATTAATCAGCAGACGGTAAGGTACTTGAGCGCTGATTGGTTTACAAAAAAAGCGCTAAATTCAAATGATTAAAATGTGGTTTTAAAGAAAATAAACATTATGATACTAAAATTGGATGATATTTGATAGTTTTTGAAATTTTATAACATAATAATAATAATAATAATAATAATAATCTTATTTTTAAAAATTTACATTTGTATTTTTTTTATGTCATTAAAGTTAGCCGACGTTCTAAATTTTTTGATTTTTTTTTAATAAGTAATCAAATTAAAACAAAAAAATTTTTTTTAAAATTGCACTTACAGTTTTTGAAGTTTTTTAGACGTGCAATTTTTTTTTTTATTTTTTTTGTAATGATTTTTTCAATAAAATTATAAAAATTTTTAAATGTCGGCTAACTTAATTTTCATATTTTTTTTAATTTCTAAATGTAAAAGTTTTTTTTATAATTAATTTTTATAAAAATTAAAAAAATTTGATTATAATAAAATATTATACAAAAATTAATTACTTTATAATGAAGATTTAATACTCTATTATTTCTTTTATGAATAAAATAAAATTAAAATTAATGACATTATAGTTAGCAGTCACTTGACCATTTTTTGATTTTTTTTATAAATAAACTTTTCTCAAAAATATATAAGTTACCAAACATGACTACAAAAAATTTATTTCTTCAAAATTAATAATAATTAATTCCTTTAATAGAATTATTATTATTTATCACCTCTAAACTCAAAATTTATCTATCTAAATGCTAAATTAAAAGTTTATTTAATTTTAAGCATGAGTTTTATTGATTTAAAACCATAAAAAAGCCGCGACTGTCTTTGCGATAAAATTCGCGCCAAAATTCAAATTCAAAAAAGTGACCCCTGCCGAGAGCTCCAAGAAATAAATATTCGCGAATATTTGCAATTTAATAAAAAAGTAGAGATAAATTACAAGAATGAGCTGTGTAGGAGTAAACAATAATATATAAATAAATAAAAAGCAATATAAAAAACCCGGGGTAAGTATATATATCAACAATTTATTTATTTATTTGAGAAAATAATTGATGATAGATTTGAGCAAAGGGGCGCGGTGGCTCGCGAAATTAAAATCTTTCTTTCCTTTTTTATTTTATTACTATGATTATTATTATTTCTATTATTCTCTCTCTCAATTCCGTGGTTAGTGAACGCGAATTCGTGCATTACATCCTACATCGCCAAAAAACAACAATGGCCGTAGAAAGTACGGGCAAAAAATCACACCCATAAATCACTGGCTGATATATATATTTAAAACAATAAATATAATTGGAATTACATATAACCAACACGCAACATGACCATTACTCACATATTTTAACAGTGATAGTGATAGTGATAGCAATGTTAATGGTAATAATGTTAATAAAATTAACAAATATAAATAGTTTCCGGAAAATGTAAATCCGCAACTTCTACGGAATCAACATGGTGATTTTATTATTATTTTATTTTTTGTTAATAATTAATGCATGACTATTTAGAGAAATTTAGAAATTTTACATTTTATTTAATATAATTAATAATTTTATTTAAATTATTAATTATGATTATAAATTATGACATTAAAGTTAGCAGTCGCTTGACAATTTTTTTTTTTTTCAATCAAACAAACTTGTTCGAAAAAATTATTTTTAAAAAATTGCATTTTTATTTTTTTAAATTTCTACATGTCAATTTTTTCTCCTAAATTTTTTTTGCCAAAAAAAATTTATTCAAAAAAATAATTTTTAAGAAAATTGCATTTTCATTTTTTTTTAATTTCTACCTGTTAATTTTTTTTCTAATTTTTTTAATTGCCATAATTTTCTTGTTTTAAGACTTTTTAAATTATTACATATATGCTAAATTAATTTTGATATATATATTTCAAAATTATACTAAAGTTAGCCGACGTTTTTAATTTTTGAATTTTTTTTCATTGATTATAATAGAACTAAAAAATATTTTTAAAAAATTGCACTTATAGCAAATAGTTGATGAGCAAATTTCAATTTTTTTACAAATTAATTTTCATAATTTCAGCATGGACCTGGCAGAAACAATGAAAAATATCGTCGCTAAAGGAATGCAAACAGAGATGGGTCCACCAACAGGAACTGGAGGAGCTGGAGGCGGAGGCGGTAGCTCTGGATACCCACAAGGTTCACCCAGCGGTGCTGGGTATATTACTGAGAAGATGTACATGCTTTTGCAATTATATTTACAAAACAAAGGATGGAATCCTAGTATCGAATTGCTCCAGTGTTTTACGGAATTGAAAGAGGCTTCTATGTTACCCAGTGCTGCATACTTACAGTAATTCTAATTTTTTTTATTATAATTTATATGATACTGAAATTAACATCTGACAATTGTTATAAAAAAAAAAGTATTTTTTCTAAAATCACACTTACAATATTTTAAAATCTTTATACAGAGAATTTTTTTGCTAAATTATTTTTGTAGCAATTAAATTATTATAAAATTGTCAAATGTCCGCTGATTTTCGTAATACCTATTACCAAAAAAATTAAATTTAAACTTTGATAATATTATATGCGCGCGCACTTTAATGAATAATTAGCGATCAAACCTTTTTAAAATAAAAAATTTCTTAATTATTAACAAAATCAATTATATTAAAATTAACCGACTTATATACATTATTTTTTTTTTTACAACAACTAAATAATGATAAAAAAATTTTAATAAAAAAATTTCAAATCTAGAAATTAAAAAAAAAATTACAAGTTCAAATTTATTAAAAACATTTTTAGTAGATTTCATAGAAATCTAACTATTGCATTGGTCCTCATGACTAGAAAATGCATATAGTTCAAAAGTTTATGTATAAATGTATTATATATATATGGGATATAACGCGACTTGTCAGGACGATAGTGAAACTTTTTCTTCACAAGATAATTTTTTTCCAAAATTTGTTCTAAATAGTTTTAAATTTATTATTGAATTTTGTTTTTAATTCATAAATTAAGCTATGTATAGATTATTAGTATTTATACTATTTTATTAAAAATCAATTTTATTTATTTATAAAATCTACTTCCATTTCAGCTGCCGAATGGCCTTTTTTTTTTTTTTAGAATTGACTTGTAATATCAAAATAAATTTATTTTTCAGAATGATGGCATCTAGAGTAGCATTGGACGCCCACGGTCGTTTGATATTACGAGAAAATGGTAAAATAATACTTCCCTACGAGCATTTTGCAAACGCAGTGATGCTGAAGCACATGAACGGGCCGACGGGATTGCACTTGGGTCTTGAAGGGACCGTGAGAGCTGTGATGGAATCCTACACAATCGGTCGTGAGTGTTTCGGCATGGAGAAGGAGTTTATAATCGAAGTGGTCCAAAATTGTCCCAACCCGGCGTGTCGGTACTACAAAAATCAGATGGAGTTGACCCAGAAGATGGGCCACATGGCTCCAACTTACATCCAGGACAGCGAAGCTGCTGCCTCGCTGCTCAGGTCCAGCTTCTCGCACAACTCTGACTTCGGGATGAGCAACTCCCAGTCCAACAGCAGTCACATGCCTGTCGCTGGGTCCTCTTCCAGCGACTTGTCGGAGCTTCAACAGAGGAACACCACCCAGATGAATCTCCAGCAGCGGCCACCAAGTCGTCCTTCGCTCAATATTCCCCACAGACCAGCTTCTTCTCAGGAACGCAAGCAGTCTTTAGGGAAGCATCACTACGAGACTATCATGGCTAATAATAATGCTGCAGCAGTGGCTGCTGCTGCTATGAATGATCATAAACTCACGGATTTTTTGAGATCTAATAATATTGACAGCATCGAAGGACTCAATAGTCTGGGTCTTGGCAATCTTCAGGGACTCAGTAATGCCAATAAGGATTTACTTGCGTTACACAACGGCGCTTGGGCTAATGATGACAAAAATTCGCGTCCTAATTCTTCGAATCCAGACAGTAAGTTTCAATTGAAATAATTGTTTTTATTTATTATTAAAAAATTTATGATAAATAGATCCAAATTTTTGCGGAAAATATTAAGATTGTAAAAAAATTTTTTATAAGTTGTAGAAATTTTAATTTTTTATCATAAATCTCTTTTATATTTTTTTAACACCAATATTTTCACTGTCATTTTTTAATTAAGAAGAACCTTGCAGTCACTGTGTGACTGCCGTGACTTGTGTACTATAAAAAATTGAAATTTTGCTTTATTAAATAATGACTTCTGTTAAATTGCACTCTACTTTGTTAAATATTGACGTTTTTAAAGATATAAGCTCATCCCGATGTTAGACTCGTCAAGAGCTTTCATTTGAGTACCCACATGCATTTTGATACATTTTTCATATATACATATATATAATATATATAAAATATATGGAAAATTGATGTGGGTACTCAAATGAAAGGTCTCGATGCGTGTTACATCGGGATGAGCTTATATCTTTAAAAATGTCTATAGTTCTCAAAATTGTAATCTCAGTTCTTAATTATTGCCATTTTTAAAGATATAAGCTCATCCCGATGTTACACTATTCGAGACCTTTCATTTGAGTACCCACATGACATTTTTTATATATTTTATATATAAGGTATTTGTGAAATATATAAATATATAAAATATATGAAAAATTGATATGGGTACTCAAATGAAAGGTCTCGATGAGTATAATCTCGGGGTGAGTTTATATCTTTAAAAATGTCAATAGTTCACAAGATACAAGGTCATTTTTTAATTATTGACATTTTATTAGATATAAGCTCATCTCGATGTTACACGCGTCAAGAGCTTTCATTAAATGACTATTGCTGAAAAAATATCAAACCTAATTTACTCTCTTAATTATCTAGGTTATTAATTTAAATTAACTATTTCTTAATTTAATTATTCAGCTGGTGGAGGAAAAATTGTACGAGCATTCGCAGAAGTTATGAAAAATATGTCAAGAATGAAAGCATGCGTACGTCCTGCGATGTGCAAGCCCTACGGAAAACAATCAGAAGCTCTACAAAAAAGTAAATATACATTAAAATTAATTTATTTAAATAATTAACAATTACTTTAATATATAATATTTTAATTAAACAATATTAAAAAGTTATTTCAATAACAATAAGTTCATTTTTAATAAAAATAAATGACGTTAAAAAAATATAAGTGTAGATTATAACGGAAGAAACTTTGATTTCTTAAAATTGTTAAATCAGTCAGTGAAAAAAATAAAGATTTTAAATAATTAATTATTATAATACATTTAGAGATAGGGTGAATTGGTGTTGGCTTATTTTTTTTTTTTTTATATAAATATATTACGTAGTAATTTATCAGGAGTTTGAATTAATTCGTAGCGTTTTTTTCATTACAACGTTTATTGTAAAACGCTACGAATTAATTCTAACACCTAATAATAAATTTCGTTGATTGGACGCCATTAATTCGTTGAATTTTTAAGACTATCAATTAATATTTTTGGTTTTTTTTTTTTTTATACTATTTTGATATTTGATATTGATATTTATTAATTAGAAGTTAATAATTGTATTTGTTGTTCCAGCGCTTGTTGATACAATACAACTGGTGCAGTCGCTCAGAAGTTTTCTTCCACCACCTCATTTTCCGGTTTCCAGCTGGAAAAATGAAGATAAACATAGATTAGATCATACTTCTTCATATTTATCAACTTCATTGTAAGTTTATAATAATTTTTTTTTTTTTTTTTAAGTAAGATTATACTATTTGAGTCAAAATATTGTCTGTACAATTGTACTGAGGCTATGAGTTATGAAAAAAAAAAAAGAAGTTATATGTTGAGGGTAATTAAAAAAAAATATTTAGACTCGAATTGTGTATAATAGTGAACAGTTTTTTGATTATTATTATTTAAGCTAAAAATGGTAATAAATTTGATGTATGCAATAGAAAAGCTGCGGGAGCACGTGAAGAATTATACGAAGCTCGTAAATTGGATTAATTTTTTTTTAAAAAATTTTTAAATATGTTTTTTTATTATATTAAAATTATTAAAGATCATCACTATAATTTAGTACTCGTTTGTGCTAAATGTGTTCTAGTCACACGAAGAGTCATCGAATCAACTTTAATAGTAAAGATAAATAATTAAAAAAAACTCGGTAATTTTTTAATTGACGAATAAAATTTTTTAATGTAATAAAAAAAAAAAATTAAAAAATAATAAATGATTAGTTTGCTCAAAAAAGCGTTGGCGTTTAGGCTTTTTGATGTGACGGTGGCAAAAATAAGTCATGCGTGGACTGTGATAAAGTCGGTAGTCAAAGAAATTATTATCTAGGTCTGTCTCGAATTTTAATTAATAAAATTAATGATAAAAGAGTGAAAACAATAAATTAAATAATTAATTGATAAATAAAATTAATAATTAAGGGAGAACAGCACTGTGACGATCGAAAAAACGAGGTGATTTTTGGGAATTTTTTTGACATGGAAAAAAAAGGAATTTGGGGATCGGATTTTTTTCATTTTATTAAAGATTATTACCCTAAATTTTTATTAAAAAATATTTAATTATTACAAAGTTATTAATAATTTCGTAGAGCACTAGAAAAAATTTTGAAAATTTTAATTTAAAAAAAAATGGCGACTGATTGAAAATTTTCTCACTATTTTTACTGTTTTTTTTTTGTTTTAACCCGGCTAAAAAAATTTTTAAAATAAAAAATTTTTAAATAATAAAACTTTGTAATAATTAAATATTTTTTAATAAAAATTTAGGGTAATAATTTTTAATGTACTTTTAATAAAATAAAAAAAATCCAATCCCCAAATTTCTTTATTTTCCCTGTCAAAAAAATTCGTAAAAAAGACCTTTTTTTTTTTCGATCGTCACAGTGATGTTCCCCCTTAAAGAAAAGCGAATGATGGTTATCAAAGATCGGGAATAAATATTTTTTCCGGTCTTTGTTGGTTATATATTAAGTGAATTAAGTGAATACCATAAATTTTTAAGTTTCGCCCTGCCAGTGGTGCTTATTGGTGCGTATTGCTGTATAAGTAATTTATTATTACTTATTACTATTATATATCTTGCTACTGGCAATGTACTGATATTAAGAAAAAAAAAAAATTAGTAATATAATATATAATAATGATCAGTATTTATAATATATATTTTTAGACAGAAAAAAAATAATTATTAAATTAAATTAATAAAATAAATGGATGAATTTATTGGACGAATTATTCAGGCTTTAAAAATATAAATTTGTATTGATTAAGATTCAAATAGTTAAAATTCGTCCGATGTATTGTAATAATTGCCAAAATTTATTAAGTATTTTTAATTTATTTATTTAAGAAAGAGATTACTAGGATATCTGTTATGGAAGTAATTGAATTTTATTATTTATAATAATCAAAAATTAATAATAAAAATATTGATAATTAAATAAAAGTAAGCTCCACAGGCAGGTTTTCTTTCGATAAGGCACCGAGTATCAAAACTAGTTATTTAAATTAAGTTTTAATTTAGAGCGAAATAATTTATTACGCTTTTTTTTAAATTGAAACATTTTTAGAATGACTTAATTAATGGTCAGTAAGAAATAAAATTAATATATATTAATAACAAATAATATAATTTGTTAATTATTTATAATCCAATGATACGAAAGTTATCAGACGTCTGATTTAATCCATGGCTGTTGCCAGCATTTTTGCCTTAATTTGAAAATAACAATTTTTAATTAATTGGATTAAATTTTTGATACTATGGCGAAAATATTGGTCGTGTCAAAAAATTTCTGAAATAAAAGTTGATCAAAATTGAATTTTATAAAAAAAAAATGTCTAACTTTTTTTTTTCAAGACGAATAAAAAAGACGCAATTTCAAAATTAAGATTTTAATAATTACTATCAATTTGTGACCTACAAATATATAAAATTTTGCTTTATTAAATAATGACTTTTGTTAAAATGCACTGTCTATTCTTAACTATTGACATTCTTAAAGATATAAGCTCATCCCGATGTTACACTAATCGAGACCTTTCATTTGAGTACCCACATGGCATTTTTTATATATTTTATATATATATGGTATTTGTGAATTATATAAATATATAAAATATATGAAAAATTGATGTAGGTACTCAAATGAAAGGTCTTGATGAGTGTAATGTCAGAGTGAGCTTATATCTTTAAGAATGTCAATAGTTCACGAGATACAAGGTCATTTCTTAATTATTGACATTTTCAAAGATATAAGCTCATCTCGATGTTACGCTAATCGAGACCTTTCATTTGAGTACCCACATAGCTTTTTTATATATTTTATATATATATATATATATATGATATTTGTGAAATATATAAATATATAAAATATATGAAAAATTGATGTGGGTACTCAAATGAAAGGTCACGATGAGTGTAACATCGGGATGAGCTTATATCTTTAAAAATGTCAATAGTTCACGAGATACAAGGTCATTTCTTAATTATGTATCTAGAGATAGAGCATTTTTGAATGCAGCCTAAATACTTATCTTTTAATATTTTTTCAAAGGGAAAAATATACTACAACTCTTTTTATAAGATCAATATTTTCACCGTGAAATCTATTAATTAAAACGTTCATTTTAAAATTTTGGCAAAAATCTGGCGCTATCCATGACTCTACAACCATAAATTAAAAAAACTGATTTTGATACTAAACGCCTAAAATAACAACTATTTTATCTAAACTAATAACTAATTATAATAATAGTTAGAATTATAAAGTAATGCAGCATTTTTATATGTTTTATTTATATTTATATATTATATATATAAAAGTAAAAAAAAAAATAATCTAAAGTTAAAGATTGTTATTTTTTTTTGGCTATGAAATGTCTAATGATTTTTTCACACGAGTTTGTAAGTTTTAAAAAATTTTATATGTATATATTATTATTATTTAAATAATTATTGATATTTTATAGTTATTGAATGTTTGTTTGATATGTTTTTATCGCGGTAGACCCGCTGTAAATTTGTTTTATAAAAAATCATTTGTTACTAATTAATCAGCTGCAATAATAACAATATTAATTGCAATATCGACAATTACAATATGACTGTATCAATTTACAATGTACAATTACAATTACCTGTTAATAATATACAATAATGTAATTACCGTAATTATTTAACATAACAAATTATCAATCATGTATTAATTTAATAACTTAGTCTCACTACCGATTATTTAAACTAAAATCTTTTTTATAACAACAATAATAATTAATATTTTATTTCCAATAATTTAATTAATTTGCAATTTTGGTTTTATTTAAATAATCGATAGCGAGGCTATGAATCCGTTGTTAATTCAGTCTTTGTAACAAATAATTAATAATATTCTATTATACACCAATAATGCTACTGATGTGTCTGCACCGCTAAAAAACTTGACGTCGCTTGCCAGTATTACTATATCCTATATTCTTATCCGCACTTATCGATTCAACGTATTGATTATTAATAAAAATACATTTTTACAAGTGTGATTTACCTGGTTTGATTTTTTTTTCTTATTTTTTTAATCTTCAATCCTTTTTATCACAATCAGTCCTTTCATTTTCAATTATTGGCTCTTTTATTCGTTGTTCTGTTCCTTCCTAAAAATAAATTAATTTACAATTAAATAATAATTTATTTATAAATTAAGATCAAAAATAATTACCTCGGCTTCAAGTACAAAAATAACGTCCTCCAAAAAACAATAGGCCTGTCTCAGATCCCCCTCGCAGAGATAAGGAAGTTTGCTCCAGACTAAGCATCTTAGGCCGACGGGTTTAAAGACGCGGTCAATAACTGTCGCGACCTGCTCTTCTAGGCCGAATCCTCTGATAGGCAAGTACTCCATAGGCTTGTGGTCCCCACGTTCTCCTGTCTCCACGTAGGGGCTGAAGGGAAGCACCAGTGCTACTACCAGACGTCCTCCGGGGGCTAAAGTGTCTCTCAGTTGGGTCAGGAGGGTGTTAGGCCTGTCGCACCGGTCCAGGAGGTTTAGGCACAGGATCACGTTGAATGGCCCCATCTTGTCCCAGTCATTCACATTCAGGACTCTGTTTTTATTTAATTTAATTTAATTAATTTATCACCATCATATTGAAATGAGTAAAATATTTTAAGAGTTTATATGCATTTAAAATTACAACAGTTATTTCATAATTATTAACAATTTCGTAAATATAAGTTCATTCTGATATTAAGCTCATCGAGACCTTTCATTTAAGTACCCACATCAATTTTTCATATATTTATATATATTATATATATATGTATATATGAAAAATATAACAAAATGCATGTGGGTACTCAAATGAAAGGTCGTGATGAATGTAACATCGGGATGAGCTTATATCTTTAAAAATATCAATAATTAAGCACTGACATTGCTATCTTGTCAACTAATGACATTTTTAAAGATATAAGCTCATCCTGATGTTACACTCATCAAGACCTTTCATTCAAGTACCCACATCAATTTTTGGTATATTTATATATATTATATATATGTATATATAAAAAATATATGAAAAGTGCATGTGGGTACTCAAATGAAAGGTCTTGATGAATGTAACATCGGGATGAGCTTATATTGTTGAAAATATCATTATTTAACGAAATATTAACATTTTCGTAAATTTAAGTTCATTTTGATGTTATATTCATCGAGACCTTTCCTTTTAGTTCCCACACGAATTTTTTTATATATTTTTATATATATGATATTTATGAAATATAAAAAATATATGAAAGGTGCATGTGGGTACTCGAATAAAATAAAATATTTTTAATAAATAAAACTCACGTAAATTTACGCTTAGCTAGTGCCCATCTCATAGGCGCTGATACATCAGTCGCGTAAACTTTTTTAAAAAGATGAGAAATGTGTGCCGTAGTAGCACCGTCTCCAGCCCCAAGATCCACTACAGTGTCCCAGGGCCCTCTGAATCCACTTGCGTCCATCAGTTTCAAAAATTGCTCCGTCGAAAAAACATGCATGGAACCTCGTCCCAGTAAGCTGCAAGCAAAATTTTATTGAGAAAAAATTCAAAATTAAAAAAAAAAGACAGATAATTTGGTAAATTTATTATCATTATTATTTTAGTAGGCGGGAATCGCGATAGACCCTTTACTCGGTTATCGTTGATGCACTCGGCACACAAGTAAACATTTTTAAAGAGATATTTGCAAACAATAGCCTGTACCCCAGTTCGGATTCTTAAGATCCTCGATACGCATCCTATTAACATATTATTGCTATTATTAGGTAAACGGTTCTCCATGGTCGCTGCTCTTTAACACTATACCTACAACTCCCTATATATACTGTCCACTATTCACTACATAACACATTTTATACAACATTTCCCATCTTATTCTTCGGCACAAGATATATACAGGAAAAAAAGTTTAATTGAATTGAGAAACAAGAAAGAATTTTCTTTAAAAATTACCGTGAAAATAATCTATAATTTTAATTACAATTCTATTAGGTTCACAGAAAAAATATTTACTTGAATCAAATAAATAATTTGACGAATTTCTTGGTTTGAGTTGAAAAATTCCTAAACCTTAAACATTTCTTAATTATTGACACTTTTTTAGATATAAGCTCATCTTGATGTTACGGTCATCGAGACCTTTCATTTGAATACCCACATGAATTTTTCCATATATTTTATATATATATATATATATATATATATGATATTTCTCATATTTGTAAAATATATCAAAAATTTGTGAGGGTATTCAAATGAAAGGTCTCAATGAGCGTAACATCAGGATGAGCTTATATCTTAAAAAATGTCATTAATGAAGAAATTACGTTGTATTTTGTCTGTTGATGATATTTTTAACGATATAAGCTCATCCTGATTATAAGCTCATCGAGACCTTTCATTTGAATACCCACACGATCTTTTTCATATATTTTATATATATATATATATACCCTATTAATAAACTTAATTATTAAAATAAAAGTACGACATCTTCAATTCTCCACTAAAAACTGTCTCGTAGAATTACAACTATAAAAAAAATAAGTACTCGTGCCTTGGACACGCCAAAAAAAAAATCCGAGATCAAAGGGAGTAAGTAAATGGAATATTCCAACTTTTTAATGGAATGCCAGAGCTAATTTAACGCTTGCGACGGATTAAGACGATCTATATCTTCAACTATATATTAATAACTAGCGACTCGCTATGATAAAAGACAAGGATGTAATAGTTAACAGCAGAAGCAGAACCTGAGGTCGAAGTTGACGTAGCATCAACACATAGCCCAGAAAAAGAGTTGTTAACTATACTTTTTAGTCCTCCGCATACTTAGTACTTAGTACTTAGTACATAGTACCCAGTCAAGTACTTGGACTGCATCAACTAAGGCGGCACGCTGTCTAGTATATATACTATAAGGTTTATCATGACCATGGTCACGTTCAACGCTTGCCTTTCATCAGAGCAGAGGCCAACTTAATCATTATATGTTATTCTGATAATGATTATGACCATCATGACTGTTTACGTCTAGTCATTAAACTAGACTGTGATAACTTGAAACTGCCTTTACAGTTTATTTTTGTTGTATTTTCAGGGCAAAAGTGTTGGGAAAATTAGGGGGCTACGCGTAATTGAACGCGCCGCGTCGGTTGTTATTGCCCTATCGTGATACTTATCACCAGTAAGTACTTATCACTGGTAATATAAAATAGTATCGAGTCTCAAAGACTAGAATCGACCTAAAGTTTAGAGTTTCAAGTCTTGGGTTAGGTCTAAAGTCTAAAGTCGAGAGTCGAAGATCCGTTGTCAGGATTTGCCACCCATATTCGACTTTACATAAAAGATAATATACAATGTATAATCTTATATCATATCATGCAACACCTGTATATTCACCATAGCCTGTATGTTTTTTTTTTTGACTCGCGGCTAAAGTTTAAAGTTCTTATCGTAAAGTTGGAACCGTGAAGAAGAAACGCATTGCATGTATGCATGTAAAGGAATTTTTTTTTCTAAATTTATTATTAAAAATATCATCAGCCGACAAAATACAACGTCATTTCTTCATTATTGACATTTTTTTAGATATAAGCTCATCTTGATGTTACGCTCATCGAGACCTTTTATTTGAATACCCACACGAATTTTTTATATATTTTATATATTTCACAAATATGACAAATATCATATATATATATATAAAATATATGGAAAAATTCGTGTGGGTATTCAAATGAAAGGTCTCAATAACCCGGGTCAAAAAATTTAATCTGTTTTACGATTAATGAAAATTTTTAATATTTTTCATTCAATTTAATTTTATTATGTGTATCTATTTTATATTAGAATTTAATATGTTTTTGCCCGCACTATTCTCAATTCAGACCAATTTCAGATCATTTTTGATGTTACAATAAAATTGTTTTGTATTGTTTCAAGACCAAAATCAGACTTTTTTCGTCACAATCATTTAAAATTTTTTTCTATTGTTTCAAGACCAAAATCAGACTTTTTTTGTCACAATCATTTAGCTGGTTTTGATCGCATCAAGGTCGAAAACAGACCAAAACGTTCTATAATTTTTAGTTGGTTTTTCATCGTGTAGATACTAAAAACCGACCTTTTACGAATTTGATAATAATAATAATAATAATATATTTATTTATTATTATTTTATTCATGTTCTCGAAGATCCTCTACAGGGCACGGCTTTTCGTTCTCTGAAACTGAAATAGTGACCATTCACTATTTCGTAGTGCAATGTATACCAAACGGTACTCTTCGCACTACCAAATAGTGGATACCGCTCATTGAATGATGCCTGATGAAAGTATAAAATTTAACATTAATCTTGTCAACATTTTAATTTTGTCTCGATGTATTCACATTGTGTTTAATAACGATAATTAGAAAACTCTAGATTTAGATCCATAATTCAACGATGAGAACTATTTTATAAACCTATATTAATACAAATTTATTAGTTATCACTGCAACTAATATTCGCAGTTACAAAACTTTCATAATCCATGAAATGTTGAGCTATGACAAATAAATATGACAGATGTAAGATTATAATCGACGTTCAGTTTATAAAACAAGAGAGCGCATAAATATATTATAAATTAATTTATTTTTTTAAATAAATGCGACTTATAATTTTTAATGAGATACTTTTAAGTCCAAAAAATTATAAGTCACCATCTTAGTCGACTTTTGGCCTTCGGTATATAATAATCATTAGAAAAAAAATTTATCAAGAGTTTTAAAGCCTATCACATCTGGCACACTGTGGCTCAGCACACTTAAAAAAAAAAATTTCTAAAATTGTCCTATAAAAAAAAAAATCATGAGTTAATTTTCTATGAAAGTTTATCTGGTAAAAAGCATCCAGCGTTCTCGCATCATTATAAAAAATGTTAATACCCGATTAAGAACCAGCGGATAGTATAAAAAAGGTATCTCGCGCGTAAGATCTTAGCGCACCTCGAGCTTAAGCTCTAGACCGCGTGCCGCCGTTCTCCAAATTAAAGGATGCGCTGAAGGTACTACATATACACGTCCAGTTTCCAGTTGAGCAAAACAACCGAACAAAATAAAATAAAATAAAAAAAAAAAAGTAACTTAAGATAAAGGCAAAGGCAAAGGACTACACATGGATGTTTATACATAAGGGCACGACGAGGCGTAGATGCAACACAATGCCGCATTATATAGAATAAGAAGAGAAGACGAGGGATAGGTAGGTAGCGAAGAGCAAAAGCGGTGAATTAATTGTCGCTCGCGCCGCTAGGGACTATAGCGATCCGCACGTCTGATTTGTGGCCCGCACGTGTAGTGTGTACGTCTCTCCTCCTTGTTCCTTGTTCCTTGTTCATCGATTCAAAGTTAAATAAAAGTTGTTTCGCGATTGGATTCGCCAAGCCCCGAATTAAAGACAAAGCAAACTTTGCCAAAAAATAAAATAAACAATATTGAATTTGAAAATGAATCTGATGACATGGAGAATAATAAAACGATCTCGAACGATTCCCGAGATGGAGATGGAGAGCAAGATGGAAATAAGGATCTGGAGCAGAGAACCTGAGGAGCCATCGAACATCGAACAATGAGAGCTTGCTCTCTTCTTATCCGCAAACTTTAAAATAATTTTTTGTTTGCTCGATTTTTATACTTTCGTTCTCTTCCTCTTCTTCTTGGTCCTTTCTCTTTATTCAACTCCTTAAATAAAAAGTTTACTTTTTATTTTGTTTATTATTCAATGGACCCTTGGTGCTCGTTAATTGATGGCAGGGGCGATGGGCCCAGGCACCCAACCCGGGTGGTGCGAGGAGAGGACTCTACAAGTTTAAAACCAACGGAGTTACGGAGCTCTCCAGTAGAGAGTTTGGTGGCTCCTTGGGGTGGCACCACCTGATTGTCCACCAGCTTCTCTTATCCCTAAATAAACCGACCGGCTATACTATACTCCTTACTGCTATACTGTATCAGCCTTATTTATATCTTTAAGCTTGCTAACTGAATTCACGATCAAAATACCGCGGCATTGATGGATTGCCGCGGACCTGGTAACGCCGCTGAGCTTACTTTTTATTTTTGTTACGTTTTTTCGGTGGTTCAGAGCAAAAACGGGCCGGCTTTTTTACCTGGGCCGGGACACCCGGGTATATAATGCCGCCGAGAGTTCCTCTGTTAATTCAATCGCCGTTCGGAGGTACTATTGACATGACACCCTCTTTATCGGCGATATCGAGGAAATAAGTGAATTATATCGCGATTCTTGTACGGAGATTGAGAATTATTTTTTTTTTTTTTTCAAGTGGATAAATTATTTTGATTTAAATGGTTAATTTTTTGGGTTTGGAAAAAATTAGTTGGATTTCAGAGAACAAATTTGATTATTTTTAATCAAGAAATTTCTTCATTTAAAAGAAGATTAAAAGTTTATAAAATAAAAGTTAAATATCAATATTACTTTTCTGATTTTGTTCTTTGTGGTGGATTTTTTTATTTTTCTATAAAAATTAATAAAGTTTTTATTTTAAAATCAAAAAAATTAAACTTGTTTGAATTTTATTGAAAATTTTTACAAATTAATTTTTAGAATGAAAAATACAAATTTTACTTTATTAAATAATGACTTTTGTTAAATTGCACTGTATTTTTTTAACTATTGACATTTATAAAGATAATATAAGCTCACCTTGTAGTTACACTCATCAAAAGCTTTCATTTGAGTACCCATATGCATTTTCATATATTTTTCATATATTCAT